CGTGGTCAAAATCTTTAAACCCTCTCTTACACAACCGAGAGGAGAATCCCAAAATGTTCTCCTCACTAATCGTGCCTTTTGTTCTTTAAATTTAAAGTTAATTATGGATTCGGTCCCTTTAATTTGTCATTTGTTATGTATTTAGTCTTTTATCTTCATTTATTACAAAATAAACTTCCATCTATGCAATTTATCCTGGATTAGTCCTTTATGTAAGCGACCGTCCATCTTTTCCGTTAAATATCAGGACAAAATAGTCATTTTACACTTTTTCTTTGTTTTATGATTTTTAACTATATTTTAATTATATACATAATAACAGTGACCAAACTCCCTTTGACGGTCTCCATGGCACACCCTTCCTTTATTGACGACCTCCTCCATGGTCTTCACCGCCACCTGTCCATGACCACCACCATCATTACAGAAACAACCATCGAAAAATACTTTATATGTGTGTGTATAATTCTATATACTTGAAAGGCTGCAAAAAGGTAAAATAAAGAAAAATGCTAGAAATATCATTTACCATCATAATCAATGGAGACAATAGATGCACATCAGAGAACGAGATCGAATTCAAAACAAATTATATAGATGGAGGTTTACTATATAATAAATAAAGATAAACGACTAAATTCATAACAAATAACAAACTTAATTTATTAGGCTAATGATAAATACAAACATATCAAGTAATTTCACATATAAAATAATCAAAATACTTATTCATCAAACCTACAAAATATTTCATAATATTTGTTTATACTAATGAAAAAATAAATTATAGTTAAAATTGTCTTATTTGCTTGAAACAAATTAAAATTAAAATCTTTTTTTATTATATAATCGGTTGAGTCTGAGAAGTATATATACTATATTATAAAGCATTTGACAATAACTCTTAAAAACTAACTTTATATATGGAGTACTCTTAAAAACTATTTTTTATGTATGAAATATTATTTATTGATGCATATTAAATCTTCATTTTTAAATTCGTTTAACTAATTGCAGATAAACATTATCAAATACAAGATAAATATAAAAAATCTAAAATAAGATTAAGATAATCATTAAGTTCTAACATAATGTTTAATTACTATCTTTATAAAAAAAATTATATTATTAAACCAAAAATAAATTGCTTTGTTATTAAATTTAAATTAAATTATAATAAGAAACTGAATTAAAGAAGTTACACGAAAAAACGAGAATTATTAAATAGTTAATCTGATACTAATATCGATCTATTTTTTTTCAAAATTTTATGTTATCTTCAAATTTATATTTTATTCAAAAATAAAATCATTATCGTTTTCTCAAAACCACATAAAATCGTATTACATCGATAGAGACAAAGAATAAAAACTAAACATTAAAATCGAGATTTATCTCGCTGCATTGCACGAATATCATTTTAGTCTAAATTAAATACCTCTTAAACTATTGCTTTGTGTTGTGAAGATTCAGTCATTTCGATCTATACGTTTTGGATATTAAAAGAAAAACTAAGCGAAAAATTAAAGTGATGGATCCAAGATTTGGTCAACCTAATTAAATGGTTACCAGATTAAAATAAAATCCATAGATCTTGAATCCCACAAGTTGCCTTAATTCATAAGATTTTCATGTTTTAATTCATTTTTAAATTATCAACTTTATCTATACTATATTATAAAGCATTTGACAAATAATCTTAAAAACCATTTTTTATGATAAAGTATTGTATATTAATACATATTACTTAAAATTTAATATTACAAGTAAATTATGCTTAAGTACAACTTATTAAAACTCCATGTTTGAATTCGTGTAACTAACTGCAGATAAACATAATCAATTACATGATAAACATCTTATTTTAAAATAAAAAAAATCTAAAATATAATTTGGATAATTATCGAGTTCTAACAAAATAATTAACTATTATCTTTATAAGAAAATTATATTAGTAAACCAAATATAAATTACATCATTATTGAACTTAAATTAAATTATACATAAGAAATTTGAATTAAAAAATTACACAAAAATTGAGAAATTTTAAATAGTTAATTTGATACTAATATCGATATAATTTTGTCAAATTTTTATGATATCTTCAAATTTATATTTTATTCAAAAATAAAAACATCATCACTTTTTCAAAATCACATAAGGCCATATTATAACATCGATTGAAATAAAGAATAAAATAAAATATTAAAATCAAGATGTATTTCGCTACATTGCACGAATACCCTTCTAGTAGATTAAAATGTCTACAAAACTTAATTCCTTGAAGAAGCATTAAAATGTTATTATTACATATATATATATATATATTATCATAAACACATATTTTGTAATTTATTTAATGTTTCTTACAAATATTTGTTAAACAACCTGGTTTTTTTTCTTTTTAAATTAATCATCTGTAGAAAGTCAAAACATCATACTTAACACATAATTTAACGAAATCATTAAATACTTACCATATATATGATATATCTAAATTTTAATAAGCACAACATAAAAAATATACACCGTAACTTAATATTTTCAATATTTATTTGTAAACAATAATTAAAGAAATTATAAAAGATACTATCAGCCGTCGTTGTATAACATAGTCAATAGTTGACATTTTTTGAAGTGTAATGTGTATATAGAAACGATCAAGATCATTTTTTTAAAACATTAACCCTTTTTTTTTTTTATCATATGACGATTTTGGTGACGTAATTTAGTGAAAATATAAAATTTTATTTATGATAGTAATAGGTAATAGAATTAAATCATTAAAGGATAGAGTATTATTCCATGTAGATGTAGTGGTTATGTTTACTTCACCAATAATAACAAAAAAGTAAAAAATAATAAATAATAAATAAAAAAGGTCCCTACTCCTACAAAAACAAGGACCTCTCATCACATGCCATGAACTGTAGATAATTGGGTGCGGAAAAGCCGGGTTGGCAAGAAAAAGAATACTATGTTGCTCATCATAACCAAACAATTCTATTCATATATATAGGGTTGGATTCACATGAGATTAAAAGTTTTTCGTGAGACTTGTAAGACCAATTTATGTTTATTGATCAACTTTATAAGCTAATGATCTAATGGTTTAAAGTTGCACGGTGACAATTTTGTGATTATTGAGAAGTCTCGTAGCAATTTTGTGATTATGAATGTTCAGATTGTAGATTTAATTCAAGGGTTGAGAATTGGTCTTACGGGTCTCACGAAAAACCTTTGGTCTCACATGATTTCAAGTCTATATATATAGGGTTGGATTCCGATAAAAAGGAGAATTAAGGTGAGAAGAGATCTTCATCAATTCCTGTATCAATGGCGATTCATGGGTGAGTTTGAGATCATACAATCATTCGCCTCTTTTCATAAATATACATACATATCTTAGTCATACATCTGTTTTAATAAACATCTAATTTTATTTTGTTTCTCAATCTAAAACAATGATCATAATGCATGAACCTTATCATCGTCCATATATATCTCAATCATAAATAATGGTTTGTATTTGAAACCACACCTACATATATACAGCCCAATTAAATGAGAACTCACTAATCTATGGTAAATGTGAGATTCAATATGAGCTACTCATTTGAGATGATTATGTTATCTATTAAATAAACATAAAAGAGTAATTTAGTAATAAAAAAAGATAACCAAGTGTACGTTTAATTAACTTATTCTTTTCATAAATAAAAAAATACAACTCCCATAAATAGGAAATAGATAACTCCCACAATGTGTTATCTTTGCATCTTTGAAACTAGTAATACAATGTGTATTTTTGACGTTCCGTTGTTTTATTTGTATCACATTCCGTGTTTTCGTTGTTTAGAGTTTATCACGTTGTGTATCTTAATGTATCACAACGTATATACAGTTGGTATCACAATGAACATCTATAGGTATTAATGGGTATATGAGAAAATGATCTTAATTAATGTATCACAACATGTATATAGTGGGTATTATAGTTGAATGTTCACGTCGGAGGGGAGAGAAGAGAAAAAGATTTCTAAAATACCTAAAATGTCATAATTTGAAATTTTAAGTCAAAACTATCAGAACTATTAATTTCCTAATTTGAACTTGATTTCTACTTGAGATTGGATTTCACAAATCTCACAAAATTTTGAGTTATCCATTGAATGGACCCCTGAATAAACGTGTGTGGCAAATGCCTTGTAAATATATTAAAATAAAAATGTTCAAGTTTAGCAGATATAAAATACCTTGTAACATGTGTATGTTTGTATTGAGTATGGTATTATGATGAGCCGATGAGTTGCTTCTCCAACATTAAACTCGTTATTGAGTTCAAATGGACGACAATATAATTGTCGAATGTGTTTTGCTCACTTTTACATGCCTCAAATACCCGACCGTGTAATCTTTTTCTTTTATTTGTGGTGTATGATAGGGCACAAAACGATCCTATCATGACTTGCAAACGTGGTAACGACATCTATAAAACATAATACAACTTGCATTCATTTTATCTTATCATTTTTATTTCAATTCACGTTCAAGTTTCTTTTCTATTGTCACCGATATCAAATTCTAATACTAAAAAACAAAACATAAGATTTGCATAATTATTCATCAAAATAAAAAAAAGAAACATTTGAATAAATTGGTGCAAGTAATTTATGTTACATTGATTGAATGAATGAATTCCTCAAAGTATTCATCTCACTAACGGAAAAAAAAATCAAAATAGGCCGTTTTTATCTACTAATTTCTTCCTCATAAACATCTTCATCATCATCGTGAAAACTTACTTTTTACATTCTCAATACATGATTTGACCTGATTCTGATACGAAAGACGTGGATATAACATTACCCGTCAAAATAATCCCCAAAAGGTTGTTGCAAGAAAAATTAATTCCCAATAATTCTCACTGTACATTCACCAAAATATACCCAAGAAACCCATCTGGGAATGGATCATTCTTTCTTTTCTGGTTTTGGATCTCAACTCTTCCAGGCGTAAACTAGCAAAGAAAACCCAGAAGGTCCTTTCAGTTCATTCTCCTCCACACTTTCCCATTCCATCACCGATCCACACCCGGAAGACGCCGACGACATTGACGATGACGACGAACTCTTTGCCCTCTTCAACATTCCTTTCTTCATCTTCTTCATCTCCAATCCAAATCCGAAACCTGACCCCGTTCCAGAAATACTAGATCCGGATGCATTTAATCGGGCCAGGTATTTGTCGTCTTCATGGTAATCGAACCCGGATTTCTCGAATCTGAACATGAACAATGCATACCCGTCATCGATTTCTTCTTCCAACAGCCAGTTGTGAACATCCCACGAAATTTGAATATGAACGCCGTCGATTTCGACTCTTTCGTTACCTCGGAATTTCCATTGTAGATGCTTCACTACTAAGACCCTTTTGTTGTCGACGGAGAAATACAATCTGGAATCGTCACCGCCGGCGACTCGGGTACAGTCAATGGTTATCTCTCGGGTTTTCCCCCGGAAAGTGGCTTTGGTGTTGTATTTCTTGTTGGCTATGCCGTAGACGTGTTCGCGACGGAGGACGGTGATTTGGTTTTTATTGGATTGGGTGGATTTGGCCTTGGAGTAAGCTTGTTTTGGGGAGTCTCCGACGAGGAGTGACATTTGACCGGAGACGGTGGCGGCGATGTAGAATCCAGATATGGGTTCTGGACCTGATCCGAATTTGGCCCGAGACAGATCGTAATAGATGTGGATGAACTCTGTTTTGTTGCCGGAGATTGGAATCTTCTTGGAGCCATGTCTGTTCCAGAAGATCAAGGGTTTAATCTGGAGGTGGAAAGAAGGAGTGGGGGCGGCGTGGTTGGATGAAGTGGTGGAAATGGAATCGTCATCGTCGTCTGTGGCGGAGGAAGGGAGAAGGTGGAGGTGGAGGGATCGGCCAAAGAGGGTGCGAGACCAGGTGAGAGCAAAGATACCGATGTGGGTATGGTAGAGGGTGGTGGTGACGTTGGGTTTAGAAGACGGGGGCGGAGGAGGCGGCGGGGGTTGCGATGGGGAGTGGGTGCGGTTGCAGGTGGGGCGGCGATGGAGGATAGGGTGGTCCGATGACATGGTGTTTTAGGGGAAGTTGTGTTATTGGAAGAAAGAGTAGCTTAAAAGAATGGGTTTATAAAGGGAAGAAGGTAGAACGGTGTGTGGGGACAAGAGGGAGCGGTGTGTCAATTTGACTTTTTTGGTCAAATATATTTGCCTTTATTATTTATACTATACTATGTTATAAAACCAAACATTTAAAAATCATTCTTTATGTATAAAGTATTATTTATTAATTTATATTATTTAAAATTTTAGATTATAAGTAAATTGTGCATAAGTATAAATTATTAAAATTTTATTTTTAAATTCGTATAACTAACTGCATATAGACGTAATTAAATATAAGATAAACATCTTATTTTAAATATAAAAACTAAAATATAATTAGGATAATCATTGAGTTTTAACAGAATCATTATCTTTATAAAAATCATATTGTTAAGTCTAAAATAAATTATCTCGTTATTAAACCTAAATTAAATTATAATAAAATTGAATTATAGAAATTATACAAAAAAGAGCTTTTAAATGATTAATTTTAAAAGTAAAAAACATTATCTTTCTTAAAACCACATAAGTTGTATTATATTAATAGAGACAAAAAATAAAACGAAACATTAAAATGAATATGTATCTCGTTGCATTGCGCGAGAACCCTTCTAGTTTACTATAATCAATGTATTTATATTTCATATCTACCATTAATTCGTTAAAAATAACTTTGTATAATTTTTTGAAATAAATAAGCCCTTGGACATTTTAAAACATGTTAACTAATTTATTAGACTTTCTAAAACATGTTATATACATCCTTATGACCTATACAAATAATGGAAAAAGTCTGAAAAAGGGTCAATAAACTTTTATATTCTGAACGCTTAAGTCCCTAAATATTTTTTGAACCAAAAAAAGTACTTAAATCTATAAAATGATACAAATATACCAAAAAAATACTTATATTTAAAAAAAAAATACTTACATTTAAAAAATATTATGAGTGAAATTTATTTTAATTAAAAATAAAATATATTCTGTCAATGATTTTTTAAAATAAAAAAAGAATTAAAAAAATTAATGATAAAATTTATTTTAATTATAAATAAAATATATTTCGTATGTCATTTTTCAAATTAAAAAAAAAGAAAAATATTTAAAAAGAATTATTGATGAAATTTATTTTAATTAAAAATAAAATATATTTTGTTGGTGATTTTATAAATAAAAAAATAGAAAATAATTTGATTAAATTACTGATAAATTAACAATAAAATTTAACTAAATACATAATCTATTAAAATTTGTCGCTAGTGTTCATTGATATATATGTGTATGGATTACTTATATCTAACTGATGACAAACTTGACCACCATCAAGCGTTCTAACACAGTAACATGTTAGTAAGTGTGAAAAATGGTGCTTGAATCTTGTCGGTGATATCATCATGCGCCTCTAACATAGTAACATGTTAATAAGTGTGAAAGATCGTGTTTGAATCTTGTTAGTGATATCATCAGACGCTTTAATACAGTAACATGTTAATAAGTGTGAAAGATCGTKCTTRAATCTTGTCGATGATATCATTTCACCGACAGATTAACAACAAATTTTAACTAATTATGTATTTAGTTAAATTTTATCGTTAATCTGTCAGTAATTTAATCAAATAAATTTCATTAATAATTTGAGAAATCATACAAAATATATTTTAATTTTAATTATAATAAATTTAATCAATAATCCCTTTTTAAATCCTTTTTTTATTTTTTTATAATTTAGAAAATCACTGGCATAATATTTTTTATTTTTAATTAAAATAAATTTCATCAATAATTTTTTAAAATATAAGTATCTTTATGTAAATGTAAGTATTTTTTTAGTATATTTGTTTAATTTGATAGATGTAAGTATTTTTTTGGTTCAGAAAATATTTAGAAACTTAATTGTTTAAAATACGAAAGTCCATTGGCTTTTTTTGCGACTTTTTTTATTATTTTACTACATTAACCAGTTTTACAGGTCATGGGAATGTATCTAACATGTTTTAGAAAATTTAAAGAGTTATTTAACAAGTTTTGGAATGTCTAAGGACTTATTTGTTCCAAAAAATTGTTCAATTACCTAATCATTTCAAACACTAAATTTCATTGGTTTTTTTCAGACTTTTCTCATCACAAAATTCAAAGTTTGTTTAATATGTTGATATTAAAAATTTGGGATATTTTAATCAAAACAAATACTACAAAGATTATGAACTTTGTCAAATCAAAACAAAGGGTTTTATGTGCTTGTTTTTTGAGTAATACGTAGACATAAAATGCTTGTTTCATTATTGATTAATGATGCATAGCTTAATGAAGGGAATGATGATTGCAAGATATTAATAACATTGCATTTTTTTAGACAATTTATCACATCATCATCTTCTTTTTCTCACCATTGACACAACCACGAACATACTTTTTTTATATCATTTTTCTCATGGATGTAACAATAAAGGACGATCATAGTAAATGATGATGCCAGCCACCACCACCATCTGTTCATCATTAGGCATTGTCGAAATCCGAAACAGATTGACAGAATCATCCATAAATCAAAACAAATGTGAAACCATATAAAACAGGAATCTAAGATTCAAACCCTAAATTGAGGTCTATAAACAATAAATTTTTTAATTAAATAAAAATCAAAAGTTAAACGCAAATGAAATTCAGAAAAATTAAGAACCTGATACCAAAATATTGGATACATAGCAACATTAAATTTATTGTTTTTCGGTTCTAGGTCTCCTTTTTCTTCGGGTAAGTCTCCAGCTGTTACTAATAATGTAGAAAAGCAAGGTTAGATGTCTATTTGGTAGTAAGCAACATCAAATGGTAGTGGAACCGAGGTCGCTACGTTTTTCAAAACTTGATATAAGACAACAAATTTGTATGTCATATATATATAATTTTTTTATATGTACATATATGTTTTCTGTTTATTGTTCAATAATATAGTGTTATTGAATTTTTATATTCATATAAATTAACCAGTTTTATATAAAAAGTTTGTAAACAGATATTCAAAATAAAATTGGAAGAGTTTTATAACTTTGTTTTAACCATAAGTCCGTGACATTTGTGAATACAAGAAAATTTGACTGATGAGTTTAACTAAGTTTGTAAAAATATAAAATCTAAAGTTAAAATTATAAAAAACACAAAAGTTCAGAAAATAATATTTAGAAAAAAAAAAAAAGAAAAACGAAGCCTTGTGAATGCGATAGTTCCAACTACGAGAATTTTTAGCGATAGAAGTAGGTCGAGAGTATTCAGGGTCGGTCCTAGCGTCTTAATGCTCTGTGCAGGATGCTAAAAAAAGGCCTCATGCCAAATTTTTTAATCAAACGAAAGGAATTGTTTTCTAAAGGGTTTGGGACCTAGGCTATGCTTGAAAAACTAGCTGATAAGTTACCTGGTAGTTGAAGAAGTAAATACGTTTGGTAAAAACTAACTGATAAACTAGTTGAAAAATATAAAATGAACAAAAAAGACATTGTTTAAATTTTAATAAAATTTTATATTTCATAATATATTTAAAACAATTCACTAATAATATAATATGTTAATTAATAAATTTTCATCTAATTTATTATTATTTTATATATAACGTTGAAAAAAATGGATTTGTATAATAAAATATAAATTTAGAAAAAATCTACATTAAATGACGATTTCAAATAACAATTACATATAATATTAATAATAACAATGTTGATCAATCATATATAGATGATTGATAAGTTTTAAAAAATAATAATTAAATTAAATATTTTATTAAAGTTTATATCAAAGCCTTATTATAAAGAAACATATAATTTCTATGTAATTTACAAAAACACTTTTAGAAATATTATATTTGTTTTCTGACAATTAAATTATAAATATATTGAATAATGACACTGATATATAAAAATATTTGATAAAATTAATAATAATTCCAAATAATCAATAATTAATACTAATGAGTAATTTACAATAAAATCAATTAATAATTTGAAATTGATATTAATTAATAATTAAAATTAAAATTAACATTAATTAGTAATTAATTAATAAATTAAAACTATTATTAATTTATAATTAATATTTATTAATAACATATAACAATTAATACTAATCAGAGTTATAATTGGAAAAACTAACAATAAACTCCTAATAAGTTACTCCAACCAGCCTATCAATAAGTTAGTTTATGTTCATCCAAACATATACTAAAAAAATAAGTTAGCCTATGTTAGCCAAACAATGCCCGGCTCATCCCCATACTGAATGCATCAAAACAATCAAACGAGAAGGGATGAGGAACAATAGGAACCAGTTTGGTTCTTCATTTGTTTGAAGAGCGTATTCACACTGCATTTCTTCAATTAGATTAGTCGCTTAGTTGAAGCATTAGACTGCTTGGGGCTTGTTATTTATAGCCCAGATGATTAAATCAAGTTAATAACATGTAAAATTAATGGCCCTTTGGCGTATGATGCCTTGTGTAGTTGCACGGACTGCACATGGCCAGAATCGGGCCTAATAATACTGAATGTCCCGTGACTCCTTTCATCCAAGCATGACGTCTCAATTAAAAGTAACAATCTGTGTCACGTTTTACTTTATTTTACATGTACTTTCAAATACCAACTTTGTGGTTTTCAAACGTCCATTTTAAATTTGAAAGTTGACTCCAAGTCAAACTATGAATTATTCAATCACGATAGAAATTTACAAAGAAAGAAAACACCACTCGATTACAAAATAATTTAATTTCATTTATGCCTGCACAAGTTTTCTTTAATTTTATTTATAATATTAATTAGTTCGTGATTTTATATCGTTTAAATATTTAAATGATATAAATATTTTACGATAAAGAATTGTAGTCCATACGATTTGAACTTATTTAGGAATTTCCATGTCGCGCATTTGTCGTCCAATTGCATGTATTAAAGATTAATGAGAAGATATGAGAAATCTTACCA